AGCGAGAGAGAAAGATGAATGATGGTTGTGAATAATGAAATAGAGGCAGCGTAGCACAAGGCTTACTTATACGTGATCACTTTCTGTTTTTGCTTTGACATATTCTTTTATTTTATGTGGTATATTCTTGTGACAACGACACCGTTTATTTCTCTCTTTGACTTCTTGTTTTTCGCATCTACTTCTCTATCATCCCACCCAGACCCGTCCCTTGTTTAAGGCATAAGGAGCATATGCTTTAGGCCACATGCTTAATTGCTTATTTATCATTTTGGAGGCCACACTTAGATGTCTTAAGTAAGGAAGCTGGCTGGTTATGTGTATATTAAAATGTTTTGATGTCTCGAAATCACAATTGTTATTTGCATCATTTTCTTTGTAAAACCTCATTCATTTGGTGATCAACCATTACTTTATATTCTATTATGGTGACCTACAATGGACATTATCTTATACGAATTGTATTTTTTTTTAGATTTGGCCTTTTCAAATAATCTCATTAAATTCTAAATTTTCCAAGCCAAAAATATATACTTTAGTGTTACCAATTTCATGGATCAAAATTTGTTATATGTCTGCTATAAATATATAAGATTAGTTTGTATGCATTTATCAAAGTTACTATTGTTAGTTAAGTTAATTATATTTTTGTCCAATTTTTTCTTTTTTTGCTTTAGGCCTCCAAAATTATTGGGACGGCACTGATCCCACCGTTTTGTTTTTCAGTTAAAATAAAAAAAGTTTGTTTTCGAATTTGTTTTTACTGTCTGGTTGAGTTTTTGGGATTCACGGTCAAAAACTCGTTTTAGGCTTTAGCATATTCCTAGGAGATAAAAAAAATATTCGGACACATGAGCTGTCTTATTTTCGTTATGGTAGGGAACTGATCACAAATTAATGTAGAATTTGTAAGAGAAGACCATCTTAATTGTCTCAGATATTTTTTTACAAAAAAAAAAAAAAAATTGTCTCAGATATTATTATGGCTATGCATATATACTTTTTATTTTTGAAATTGATTCGATTTACTGTCTTATTTGCATGTGAGAGATACAATGACAGACCATATGCGATTTTCGAGTAAAAAGTGTTTTCAAGTGTTGTGTTTTTCATCCGACTGCATAAAACAATTTATTGTTGACCCTAAAATCATTAATATTTACTGAATTCATTGAAAAATTGAAGACTATGAAAAGTCCATGATCACTAATGAACTTCATGTTATTTGTTAAACAATTTTTTTAATTAATTTAACATCCTGGTTAAGCAAGTTTCCATATCAAACGCGAGAAGAATCATTGTGTACAAACATTAAAAAGAAAAACTATGTTGCCAAAAAAAATCAAAGGGCTAAAAACTGGGTATACCTCAATGTAGAAAAAATTAACTAGACCTTGATGTCACATTTTCATTTATAACCTATACTTCCTTTACTTTATTCTAATTGATGTTTAAAATTAACGCACACAAATTAAGATAATGTAAAAAATTATACAATTTATCTTTGATAACATAAGAATATCACTAACAAAACTAACTCAACCAATACAAATATAGTATTATTTAATTAGTCAGAAATCTTAAACAACATTGAGTTTTTATTTGAAACAATTATAGTAACATCAATTATTTTATAACTTATTTTTTTTCTTAAACATCAAATAAATAAAAATTGAAGGTATATCCAACACTATTAAAAGCTCTTATTTAAGAGCAATGAGAGTGTCCACATAGACAAATATAATCAGCCAATCATAAGATTCTATTATGCCACGTCACGTCGTATTGGACCATCGTTAGAAAACCCAAGACAACCCAAATTTTCCCGACTCTTCCAATTCGACGGAATCGTTTCGTCTCCTGTTTATTTTGTTTTGAAAGCAAGAGAAAGTGAAAAAATACCTTTGGATTTAGCATTGTTCTTAGTCTCGCCAACTTCACTCTTCTCCTCATCTTTTCCGTCGCTAGAACTGTTAGATGCGAGAATCGCTTTGGCCGCCGAGATCACAGCAGCGGCGCGACCAACGACCTGCATCCGCTGAATCCGATCCCTCTCCTCGATGGAAACTTCCAAGATCTTCTGGAAATCAACGCTCTTCTTCTTGACTAAATCTCCTTCTCCTTTCTTGCCATCGGAAGGTACGATTCGGGTCCATTCATCTAGCAGCTAAATCAAATCTTATAATTCACATCTCATCATTCTCAGCCCAGTCGTAAGCCGTTACTTTATCTACCCTTTTTACTAAATCTGCTATCGTTTTATGTAGGACGAGAGCCGGCGGAAGACGTCCTAGGCGTAAAACTACTAAAGGTTTCATTTGAGAAGACGTTTTCGTTGACCAAAGTGTTAAGCTTGATTATTGGTACAGTCATCACATCTTTAAGCTAACTGGGTTTCTCTTATTCACACTGATTTATTAATCTATCGAGTCTCATGGAGACATAATTCTTATCTGATATTGAGTTGTTTTCTCTTCTATACTTTTACAGTGTCATAAACGATGTAACATTCATAAATAATGAGTTCCATGAAGTATATCTTCTAATAATTCTGCATCCAGTCCCGTTACAAGCTTTTTTTAGGTGAGAATTTTTCTTCCTACGAAGCAGTAAGTTTTAGTGCTGATCATTTAGCCACTTTGGCTTCTCAACTTGCCTCACCATTCACTTATTTTTATGTATATATTAGATAGAGGAAGTCTCTTCCATATTATGAATACATAATTTTCTGTCCAAAGAATATCCTGCTTATGTGCCATATGGCACAAATGGAGAGTATGGAAAACTATTCGACATAATCAGGCAGAGGTAGATATATTTACAACACCAGAATGAGAATTTCGTACCGCATGTATCCATTGGTAAGCTACATGCTTTATATAGAAGATTCTCATCTTACAAAATTGTTGCTTCTTTGTTGAAGGTGCCAAGTGAACACTTAGGCCCAGAGTTTTCTATGCAGAAGCAAATCCAAAGATATTTTCTTATCTCCCTCGAAGCATAAGGTAATTAATTTCACATATATTACTTTGATTATTTATTTTTTTGTTTTAAATGTCCGAAAAACCACGGGTATTGTGTTTCATATTTCCATTTTGAGATACCTTTCTTGACTGTGCAGTAGACAGAACTTTCTCATGATATTAGAAAGCACTGGGTTGAATCATAAAGGCTACAAAAATTATTGACAATATTTTCTATGAGCATGTGTCATAGATTTGTAGTCTGGATTTTCTGTTCTGATAGTGAACAAGAGATAAACTTGAACTAAATTAGGTAAGTTGTCTGTTATCCTAATCAGTTTGGCGCAGCAAACCAGCTCCAAGAGATTGGCTGAAAGATCATGCCGATGAATGAACAGGATGAGTGGGTTTACAGCGACGGGAAGTCAACGATCTGTGTTGCTTTCATCCTTGCAATGTACAAAGCAGGTGTGTTCGGTCCTCTCGCTGTTCACGTTCAAGTCACTGAGTTTACTGTGAGTTTTTATCTTTCAATAGTCTGTTTCACATTTCTTCACATGTTACTTTAGTCTTAAGCGTTGTTTCTTTGGTTTGTTTCAGATCCGAGATGCTTACACTCTGAGGTTGTTTGAAGATAATCAGACAAGGCTGTCGAGTTGGTGTAACGCAGAGAAAGGGAAGCTTGAGTTCTGTCAGATTCTAGGTGAATACAGAATGGAGTTGCCTGGTTATAAGATAATTTTTTGTGAATATGTATGATGATGTTGCACCTTCTTTGGTTTCTCCACCATCATCGATCATGGCCACTTCTAGATCTCCATCCCTTAGCCAAAAAATGATTCGTTGGCTGACAATATACAAAATGCTCACAGAGAACCAACAAAGATCTCACGTTCGAGCAGCGACAAATGGACAAGAAATTTCAATCACATGCTCGAGCTTTGAAGGAAGATTATAACATTTAGAGGCATCATTGACCTTCCTCATCTCTCGCAGGTTATCTTTCCGTAACAAATGTAAGTCAAAATTGTTTGGAATAACATTTTATCAGACTTTGTGGGTATATAATTGTTTTTGTTTTATACGTCATATATAATTGATCTCTTTTTGCGTTTTTGTTTGTCTTTGTTTTATGGTTGGGGGTGCTATTGGTAGATGGTGATGCGTACGATGAAAGATCTCCATAAGCTTTGTCCTGAGATTGTTGAAAACTTGTGTCTCTTGGATATAAGACATGTATATACGGATAAGGTATCCATGCAGAACTCATCTCATGACTAAGTTAAGCTCTAACCAACTTGTGTTTTCTTATTGTTTTGTTTTCTCTGATCAAACCTGGTCTTGCAACATTTGTTTGACCAGTTTTACAACACTTTGAAATCAATTGGAGATTCATGGATTGATGACAAGGAATGGATTTATGAGTATTATGCAACTCTTTTTTCTGAATAAATCATTTCTTTAAATAAGAAGTTCAGCAGGTGAAGAGTGTAGTCAAGAAGTAACTTCTTTGCTAAGGCGTCCGTTAACGCATTGCCGGATAAAAATTGTGAGAAAAAGAGATAGATAAGAACATGTTGTGGGATCTTATTGAGTTTCTTGATTTGGTTTCTTGCAGTGAGAAAAGCTTTAGCTGCATTAGATGGACTGATAACTGGGAGGCGGGAGCAATGAGATGCTTAACGTGACTGAGATCAACATTGAGGAAAAGAAGCAAAAGGTTACTACTCCTCCTCAGAGTAAAACACCTACCAAGCGAGCCTTATCAACAATTCACCATTAAAAACAGCATGAAGCAACCGATCACGCCAAGATCAGTGCTGCATCCACTAAAAGACATTGAAATCTCTGTTTCAAATCTTCCAAGACATGTGAGAATGCAGGCGCTTGGCTTTATCTTAATTTTGATATGCATATATATTGTATGATCCATATAATCAAATTTATATAAACATAAATTAATATAAAAGCCTAAGAAAATCTATCCATAATAAAATATAATATAATTAATGTATTTTACTTAAAATAGAACACACTATAAAATAATAAATCAAAATAATAAGAAAATAAAATAATGCTAGAACAAAATGTATTTAATTAATTTACGTTAACTAGTTATAATGTTAGAACCATTAGTTGAACATTTAGTGATTAAACTAAGGAACATAAAAATAGCTCTTAGAAAATATTATATTTTAATTATTATATTTTGTTTTGCTGCATAGAAACAAAAGTATTTGGCATAATTTCAGGATTCTTTTAAAGTACATTACTTTTAGATTTTAATTGTTTTTCATTTCATCACTATTTTAACACTTAACAACGAATTTATATAGATTTCATTATCAACCAATAATAAATAATAAATATTGAAATTAAAAATATATATTGGTTGATTTTAACATTAACAAATATTTGAATTATATGTTAATTTAACCACATTTTCATAAAATTTTAATAAACAAGTTAAAAGAATAATTGAATTTGAAATATATTTTTTTATTCAATTAGTTATCAATTTATATGTATTTTGATATTGGAAAAAATGAATTTTAATACTTTTATAATTTTAGTCACCAAAAACAATACAAAAAATTTCAATTTTTTTATAGTTTATATTAGATTATTTAGTCTAAATATAGAATATGTAGTTAAATATACTCTATATAAACTAAACAAAATTAAAATATAGGAGAAAAACCCGGGCGTAGCCCGGAAAAAATCTCTAGTATTATTAGAAATACCAAAGACAGTTTTTACAATCTGTATTTATTTTCAACAATCTATCTTAGGAATTTTGTTTTTGATATTTATCAATAAAACGATTAATCTTAGTTAGACCTTTTTTTTTTAACACCAATCTTAGTTAGACCAAACGATTAATCTTAGTTAGACCAAAAAATCTCTATAGTATTATTTGAGAAGTCAGTTTCCTATGTGTCGCGCTCACGTTAACTCTCGCGATGGTTGATTACATATATACCCTTAGTGAACTAATCATATTAAACAAGATTGATATTAATAATGTATTTCCTTTTTTCATACTAAGATTTTACTTATTTTTCAATTTAAGTTTACTTTTTAAACACATAAAAAAAGAAATATTATGAAATATAAATCTCTATACTGTATATAAACGGAATTTATTTTTTTGCAATTTTTCTAAAATAACATTTTTAGTGTTTATTTAAGAGATATTAAAAAGGAAACTAAAAATATTTTTTTACAAAAATAAATATTTTGATCAAATAATTTAAAAATCCTTTTAAATAGCGTAGCACTATACACTATTAATGAAATGGAAATATTATATTTTATCAATATTAAAAATTCTTTTGTATATTTAGTTTGATTTTGAATTTTATGTTTCGTTTATGGAACTTAATATATAAATAATAAAAATAATCAAGTAAATCTAAGTTCTCATTTTTAAGATTGTGTAAAATACGGTATCAGTTTACCTTTCAAAAAATCTAAGGCAAAAAATAATTTAGAACTTATAAATATTTAATTATTGTAAATAGTAATATGTGCTCATGAAATTTCAAAAGTTTATCTTTATACTCATATTTTTGTATGTAAATTTCTATTGATCATCACGTTATTATTTAATACTTCTTAAAAGTCAACATATATCTAATTATTAAAATATTATAAAAAACTTTCATTAATTAGGATAAAAAAAATAATTATATTTTCATTTGAATTAAAAATATATATATATAACTCAATATACTCACAAAACGAGTAACGGAACGAATCTAACTTATATCAAAAATAAAAGATCTAACTACAACAAGAACGTATAATTTTAGAATAATTATAGATATAGATGACAAGATGACTCAAAAATATCAATATAGAAAAATAAATTATTAATCAACTATAATAAGTAAGATTTTTGTAAAATTTATATATATGAATGAGACTTCAGAATATTATCGTTATATTCATTTATGTAATTTTGAGTCAAAATTTCAGTTTATTTTTAATTTCCTTATAAGCATAATATATATTAAGTTATACGTAATCTTACTAATATATATTTACATATATAAGACGATAACCAATCTAAATGCAATAATAATCAAAGTTTTAGTATATTTAGAAGAAAAATATTATAGCTGAATTCAGAAAAATAGATGCAATCTAAAATACACAAGTGTAACCAAATAAACTATATATTGACCAAAAAAACAATCAAACCGATAAATATAAAATCTCCTAAATTGTATGTCTAATTAAAATAATATAATATTATTACTAAGGTATACATATAAATTTTAAATTAATTTATAATTATAAGAAAATATCTATGTAAATTAATAAATTAGAATATATATATATATATATATTTACTTGATAAATATTCATGCACGGAAAAATTACCTAATTAAATTAAAAGGAAGTTACAAAGCTAACAGAAAATAGCGGGAAGCAACGTTTTAGAATGGGCTTTCCAAACGTGGGCAGATGCGGGCCCCACATATTTGGATTCTCATCGGCTGCCTTCTTCCTCCTCTTTCTCCTTCATTCTCTTCACCAAAAACCCTAATATATACTAGCCGTTACGCTCCCTCACACACCCTCTCTCTCTCTCTCTCTCCCACAATCACCACTTTCTTCTCTCTCTAACTCCTCACTTGCTCTCTCTCTCCAACATGAAATCGATCGAAAACGTTTCAAAGAAGCTTGCTATGTCTTCTGATTCTTCAAACCCAGAATCAGTTTTATCTACCAAGACCCCTAACAAGAAGGCGACTCTCTCAATCAGATCTCATCACAGCGACAAACCCGTTAAGAGACAGATCTTGACTTCGCCGCAAAAACCTGAAACAACCGTGAAATTGCCCGAAAGGTGCGATTTTTGATTGATAAAGTTTTGAACTTTATGTTTTTTTTTTCAAGTTTGATGAATTTATTGGCAATTTTTTGCAGGTTTGAGATTCTGGATGAATGCTTTAATGGGTTGGTCACTGCCATTAGGTTGCTCAAGCTAAAGGGTTCTTTGACTTCGTTTGCTAATATATGTCCCAAGATTGAGTATCTTACTAATCGGTAAAGCTATTGACTTTCTTGCTTCTTCTTCTTTCTTTGTTTGGTCTGAAGAACATCTATTTAAACTGATCAATAAAGCTATTGACTTTCTAGCTTCTTCTTTGTTTGGTCTGAAGAACATTTATTTAACTGATCAATAAAGGCTATTGACTTTCTAGTTTCTTCTTTGTTTGGTCTGAAGAACATATATCTAACTGATCAATATAGCTATTGACTTTCTAGCTTTTTCTTCTTTGTTTGGTTTGAGGAACATCTAAGTAACTGATTTTGGTGAATCTTTTGAGAGCAGTGGAAATTGACTATTGATGCATCTGATTAATTTGATTGTTAACATGAACTGGTCTCACTTGATGCATGTTGATTCTAGTAGTGACTTAAATCTAGGTGACCATCACATAATCTTATTAGAAGTATAAATAAGAATCTTAAGTTTGTAACGTTTACTTAAACACTAGTCAAATCATCGATTACATCATAGTATAATATCTATTTCTATCACATATGATGATAGAAACACTAAAACTGGTATTTGTATGAGTTTTCTCTCTAGTTATTTTTAGTATTGTTCAAGTTTAATTCGCAGAGTTTCTCAACAATGTCATATTGCTTAGATTGTCTACTTATATTCTTTGGTTGTATTTGTTTAATGTTTGTTTGGCCAATGTGTGTGTATCTACAGGATCTTCTCGTATGACCATTTGGCTCAGATGAAACATATTTATCCGGAAGCCATTGAAGTGAAGAGAGTATTGAAGTGTGATGAAGAAACTATTTGCATGAAACCTACTCTTCATATTAACTTAAACACCGATGCAGTTGTACTTGAAGATACAAGTTGCGGAACTAAATACATGCAACTTAAGAAGGTGTTCTGCACAAAGCTTGTAGAGTTTTACAAAGCTCATCCTAAGGTATACATATTAGTCTTCCTAATCTTTTTATTTGGTTGTAGCTTTTTGAGAAAATGCTAAACGTATGTGATTGTTGTTTTGGAATTAGGACGAGATTCCGAAAGAACTGCTTCCTGAACCGTTCAATTTCTCCAAAAGGAGTACTGATTCAGACACAATAAGCGTGGTAGATGTGGTGGAAGCATCTAAACTTGAGACTGATGGGTTTGATGTTAAAATGGAGGAGGAAGAAGATAAAGTCAACAAAGTGATTCCAGATTTGGCTCTATATGATGGTACTGAGGAATGCTTGTCACCACACACAGAGTCAAGAATAGCTGAGAATGATGGGTTTGATGTTCAAATGGTGGAGATGGAGAAAGAAGAAGATGAAGTTAACAAAGTAATTCCAGATTCGAGTTTATCAGATGGTACTGAGGACTGCTTGTTACCACAAACAGAGTCAAGAATAGTTGGAACACCAGCCAAAGTTTTGTTCACTCCTTCCAAGGATCTATCAACACCAATCAAGCTCATGAGTGCTACACCAACGTTGCAGCCATCTAGACGGTGTATTACAATGACTCCAGATGATGATAATGACTCTGTTAGATCAACAGATGATGTGAAAAGGCGCTCTTCTCGCACTAGGTGTCTGAATTTCGACACTCTGGAGGAAGAGGGAACTGTCAGTGACGAGTCTAATGATGAATCGGTTGATAAAGGAAACGATAGTGAAGCTAATGGCGATGCTTCCTACGATGAAGATAGTCTTCTGCACTCAGTAAGCGATGCCTTTCACATTGATTCGGTTGCAAAACTGTGGTTGAGACAGTATCCATGCTTAGCATTGTGTTGTGTGTGTGTGTGTTTCGTGCAGGAGATAGAGAAACCAGAGGCTGAAACCGAGAAGCAAAACTTGCCTAAGCTTGTTAGTGTGATTCATAAAATATTTCAGTCAACAAAGCGAACGGTCATCACGAAGGATGAGCTTCTTCACAAGATGATTGCATGCCAAATGGATATAATGGATAGAAGTAAGGACAGTTTATATCTAATGTGTGTGTACAAATTCACTGTCTCTTCTTCTTTAACAGGCTAACAGTTTCTTTCTTGTTTTGTCTTTCTCTCAGAGGAAGTGGAGGAGCAGCTAAGGTTAATGTTGCAATTGGTTCCTGATTGGATCTCTGAAACAAAAGCATCTTCTGGAGAGTTTCTTGTTCGGTGAGTTATCACCATAACACTTGTGTTATAAAGAGCTTTTGGCTTCTTCAGGCTTTAACATTGTTTATATTTTGGTTTCTGCAGCATTAATGAAATGTCCACTGCAGAGACAGTACGTGCAACACTTGAGGAAGCAACTTCACAGTGCATTTCCACCGTCTCCTGAAGAAGAAAATATTAGTTTCAATTATCATTAATCGTTACACATCTTTTTCTTCATGAGAACTTGTTACAATACTATTGATTTATTATCAAACATGATAATTATCTAATGATTGTGGCTGGTTAAGTTGTCTACGTAAAGTAGCTAAAAGTTGAAACTTACCGGTATTAGATAGTGGTTGAGTAAAAAGTGTGAGAAAACGGCTGTATCTGTTTCGTATTTCTCAAATGTCCCCACTTTTTTCTTTTAATTTTATATATCAAACGAAAAATCATATAACTAAACGGGAAACGTCAATATTTTTATTTGATTTATAGAATTTGATAAAAATATTTCAAAAATCAAAAAACTGTTTTTTTATATTTTCCCGAAAATCATCAAAATATGATTAAAAAACGATTTTAAAATATTTTTTTTTCGAATTTGAAACATATAGAATTTAAAGATTTACCCATGGGTTCACTGATCCATAGGGGGTTTGTTTAGTTTTGATCGCTTGTTAATGATTTATTTGGGATTTTCATAAAATGGTGAAGGGTATAAAGATTAATGGAGGCTATAAGGGACTTAATTTTTTTTGTAGAAGGGCATCTGAGACATTGATTCAAAAGTGTTCTACAATAACAAGTGTGTGTCAGTGATGTTGTCTTTCATAAAGATAAGTGTTGAACAACAACAGCATGACAATTAAAGTTGTTGAATACCAAGATTCCATGACGATTATGCTTCTACAATCTACCGTCACAATATAAATATATACAAAAGAGAAAGTCAAGTTTTACTCATGAAAACCCTCCTTTAAGAGCTTTGCTTGCTCTCTGAATAGCTCTTGTGACTCTCCATATCTCATGCTTGATTGATCCCTCTGATGAATTCGTTGCAATTGCATCTGCTATTCCCGGGAAAAAACCTAGCTTGCTCTCTGGCTCTGCTGCAGGTCCATACACCTTTACATAGACACAAACACAAGGTCACATGAGTTTTTCAAAAATGGATTGCAAACAAAATGTTCTTTTTAAATTACTCACAAGATGCTTGAACCATTCTTTCCCTTTGATCCCTTCTGAATCCAAGAACCCTCTTTCTGCAAGCATCATCCTGTCATTTAGCTCTCTTCTCTTGGCTGCTGTTGCAACATCATTTTTTCTGTATGCTTCTTCTTTAAGCTTCTGAAAAATTAATCATCAAGATATGAATAGGTGTGACGAAGAAGAGAAAATAGTAAAGGTTATATAACATCAATCAGCAAAAAAAACCTTTGCTTCATCTGTCACTTCTTTAGCAACTAAAGACAACTCTTGTATCGCCACGCTTAAGGGATCAACAGAGACTTTCCCTTCTAAGAGCTTGCTCAACGTATCTCTATGTTCCTGAAACATAACACCAAAACATATATAAACTCATTTTTTCCTTTCCATCTTATTCCTAGAGTGAGTAGAAGAAACATACCTGCAATTGTTCTGCATAAGAGTTGTAGTCAAACGGTAAGACTGGCTCATCAGCCAAGATGATAGCTAAAATCCCCCAAATCCCCGCCACTGAGAGATATAACGAAGCATAGAAGAGAGTTTAATCCTCAGCACAGCAGCCATAAAAACTAGAGAAAGAAAACAAAGGCTTTACTTGCAACATGACGATGAAACAATGGATCTGCATTGCGGATCATCCAATCAAAGGAGTCAAAAGCAGTGTGATAGACAGGATAATCTGAAGAAAAAAAACAACATACATTAATACATCATCACATTCTGAAAAATCTTATGGAAATCAAATTCTGCTTTACCTGCTCCATAATACATATCTATAGAAGGTATCCCACCATGATGAAGAAACCCGGAGAAATCAGAATCTACTCTACTTAGCCTCTGTATCTGCACTCCATTTAAACCATACACCATTATTACAAAGACACCCTTTTGGTGGTTAACGCAAAAGACATGAGAGTCTACTCACAATGTTGTTCTGAGACTTGAATGTCTCTTCCACTGTCAATTCTACATCATCAGGATCTTGAACCTGACCACAAAAACGAACACCAGAGACTAAGACTAGAAGCTTACAAATTGCTTGAAAATGTCCACATTAGTATTATTACCAGCTTCAAGGCATCTAAAAGAACATTGTCTAGTTGAGGAGTTGCACCAGCAAAAAACCCAGAGCCTTGGACAGCACAATCAACATTAAGATAAGCCACAGCACTTGCACCTAAGTTCAGAACATGTTCTTCAACCCACTCAGTTGATCCAATCTATCAAACAAAAAAACACAAAACTCAAAAAGTGTTGTTTCCACAAACCCATCAAAACAAACTCAGCTTTTCTTTTACTAACCATTCCGAACTCTTCAGCATCCCAACTACAAAGAAGAATGCTCCTACGAGGTCTCCAACCAGATTCAAGCAACAGAGCAAACCGTCTACCAATGTCAAGTAAAGCAGAAGTTCCACTGTTTGGATCAACAGCTCCATACGTCCACGCGTCTCTGTGATTCCCAAGACACACATACCGGTCCGGTTCCTCACTACCTCTTATTGTAACCACAACATTGTGAATCTTCTTCATCTTCATCTCCCCCTTTAAAGACCATATAATGTAACAGTAAGAACACTTTTATTACAAAAGTCAAAACCAAGAGAAAGACATAACGGTTACCTACCTGTAACGTCATGTTGACAACAGTCCTCCCCGGTCCAACCCGTTGACTTGACCCAACCCGACCCGTTCCCCACTCCCCCGGAGCCCTAACCCCTCCCAAAGAAGCCAAAATGATCTCAGCATTGTGTCTAGAGAGAGGCAGAGAAGGAATCTTTGGGAACCTTTTTGAGACACGTTCATCATCCACACTCAACTTCTCTCCTCCGACAACTCCGGGCCAACCCGGACTAACCGGGTCACCTATACCTCTCATCACAGTCCCTCTCTCAATCCCACCAAGCCCACCACCGTCTTTCTCGTCATATATAAGGACACCAAGAGCGCCTTTAGTCTCTGCTATCTTCACAACCACTCCTCTCCCCAAACTCTCTCCCTTTCTAACCAAAACCAAACAACCTCCAACGCTAACTCCGAGCGATTCAAGGGCGTGATAGTCTCTCTCCTCGCCGTGGTTCACGAATATGACGTTACCATACGCTGAACCAGACGGGGAGTAAGCGTGGTAAGGCGTGACAACATCGGAGGAAGAGGAAACGACGTCGTTTAAGTTGAGTTCTATTGTCGTGTTGTTGCTAAAACGCGCAGTGACGGAGGTGTGCGTGGGGTAAGAGAGGAGGGCTTCGTATTGGGAGATGCGGGTGTCAAGTTTGAGGCTTTGGAAGTGGGTTAGGACGTAGTTGAGTGTGTCCGAAGAGGGTTTTGTTCCGGCGAGGTGGGGGTGGCGGGTTAAGGAGCGGAGGTAAGAGGAGACGGTGGCGTTGGAGGCGGAGGAGAGGAAGAGGCGGCGGAGAGTGTTGGGGGAGTTTGGAGAGAAGAGGTGAGGAGTGGAGTATGGGTGGTGGAGAGTGTAGAAAGTGGCTACGATGAGGACTATGATGAAGAGGAAAGAACAGAGAGGCGGTGGCTGACGGGAAAAGATTCCGGCGGCGACGGTTTGTCTAGGCTGCGACATTGCAGAGTTAGAGAGAGAGAGAGGGAAGTGATGTGTAATTGTTTAAGGCAGTAGTGGCTAAGCCAAAGTAACTATCTTTTGATATGCTTTTGTCGTCAAGTGTGTTTCTATTTATTGTTAATCATCTTTGTCTTTTTTCTGTATTGTCTCTTTTCGTATTTTGTTATTATTATTCAGGAGTTTTTTTATTTATTTGGTCAAATACATTTGTTTGTTGTTGATCTTCTTTCTTGTTCTTTGTTTGTTTTCTTTAACAGTTAATTTAATAACGAGAAGATGAATTTATATAGGAAGCTTTAACTGGTTGAAAGATCACTTGAGAAACATGTTAACGACCATTTAGAGATGCTTAGACATCTCACAAGTGTCGGTTCAGTTGAATGAAAAGCTGCATGTATTAGAATAACCAAGTGGAGTATGTTTTTTTTTAGTAGTAGTGGGTGGCCAAAAGGTATATTTTTCTTCAATATTAGTATCATTTTTGTTTTCTTTCATATTATATACTCATCAAGTCATAGTGTATTTGTATATGTCATCCACAATATGACATATTCCATTTTGATTTATCATTTTAAAACATAAGCATATTACTCCTGATATTCCATTTTGACTATCAATTATTGAGATTTCCTCAATGTTTTTTTCTTTCTTAACCAGTCACAATGTAAAGCATTGCATAAATAATACTAGTAAACTTCATATAAGCTCTCCTTTTTGCTCAATTGCACTGGCCCTATTGCCATTGAATCCGTTTATTAAGTTAACCTTAAGTTGACTTGACACACAATGTCAATAACATGTCCTTTTTTGGGTACCTAAGTTATAAGTACTCAAACTAATTCTCCAAAGAAGGTGCAGTTTGCGTACTGATTCTTTCTATGAATATTTAAACGCATCTCAAATCATATGGTCATACATGTTTAATGTCATGGGGTTGTATCTTTTTTTTTTGTCAACCATGGGGTTGTATCTAATCCGGATCATTTAACTCCCCAAATTATGTCTACAACTAGAACATTGTATAGCTTCAAACATGATATTGATATTGTGTGTCAGGGTGTGTTGTCGTATTTGTGTGGCCACTCTCCAATGAATGTTTTCTCTGCTAATGATCTCGTCCCATGTGGCTCTGATTCAGAATTTATCTTTACTCTTTGCCACAGTTTTGGCCACTGTTATCGCTTTCATCCATTGAATGGCATCATCTTGAACTTTGTCCGCATCCATCTTAACTGTAAATTACTCGGTAGTAGTACCATTTTATCAGTTTCCAATGTGTTAAATGATCATAAAGAGATCTGTAGTAGTTCGATGGATCCATTAACACAGATGCATTCTTCTAATAATATACCCAATTCTCCTAGCATTTACAATATATATATAACTAGGTGATTTTCCCGTGCTCATGCACGGACATAAATATTTAAAATAAATATATTATAATAATTGATTGATATTTACTTCAAATTTAAAATTAATTTATAATTTGTAGATATAATTTATATTAATAATAGTCTATTAATTTAATTATTATAATTTTAGATATGTTATATTTCGTCAGTTTTATTGTTTTTACGGTTGATTTAGTTATCATTGAGATATATTAGATTCTATCTATTTCTTTGAATTCAACTATAATCTTTTTTATTCTAAATATATTAAATTTTTGATTAATTGTCTTATTTGCATTTATGCCGGTTGTTATCTTAGAAATATAAGTATATCTAGTAAGAGTATGTATAACTTAAGATTTTTTATGCTTAGAAAGAAAATACATACTTAAGTAACTAATAAATTTTTGCAAGCTAATGAACACATATCAATATTTACAATATTTAGAATGATTAGATGATAAACTGAAATTTATTTTAAATAATTTTAAAAATAAGGATTCTGATTTGTTTAAGTATTTTGATTATGGTTATATTAAGTTCCACAAACATAAAAACAGAAAATTAAAAATCAAAAGAGTTATTAAGAAAACATATAATTTTAACTATTAAAATATAATGTATCTATTTCGATAAATTATATAATGTTATGATATTTTAAGATAATTGTAGTTATTTGATCAAAAAATATTTATTATTAAAATTCATTTTTAGTTTTGTTTTTAATATCTTTTAAAATCTGCAGTAAAAATGGTATTGTTTTTGAGAAATTATATTATATAAGTAAATAGAATTTATATTTTTTTCTGTAACTGTAAGATATTATAATAAAAAATATACTAAAATAAAAATATATATATTTCAAAAATACTAACTATAATTTTTTTTGTCAATAAAACATATATCATTTTATGTTACTTAATTATTTTATGTAATCATCTAATAAAATAGATCTACACAAAAACAAATACTTTGAAAATCTATATATTTATTGTTTAAAACTATTATTTTTTTTAAAAAATATCTCTTTTTCTAATATAAAGATTAGTTGTGTGAACTTTTTTTATGGAATCACATTATATACAAATATTGTTTTTCATCTAAGAAGATATAGTTATAAAGTATTTTATTACTTCAAAATTATATTTTATGTTATTTAAAATATATTTAAATTAAATATTACTATTTTGTGAACTTTCCATTTTTATGAAACCATATTTATATACTTATATTTTTCGTTTTTAAAGAGTTTTGTAAACTTTATACATGTTTCCTTTTTATTTTATATTGTTATTTGGAAAAAAAAATTAAAAGGAAATAATAATATTTAAATGTATTTTTTTTAATTCATTAAGGGTATCATAGTAATCAACCAACGTAAGAATTAACGTGAGCGCGACACATAAGAAAGTGACTTCTCAAATAATATTATAGAGATATACCCAATTCTCAATAATACTATTGATTTTGCATGTTTCGTTCAGGTCTCATAAGTTAAATGAATAAGAGAAGAAAAAAACAAAGACAAAGAGAGTTAAACTGACTAAACGTAGCATGGAGAATATAATAGTACTTCATATGTATGAAAGAAAGTTACGGTATTTTGCATTAAAAATGGTGTGAGCTCAGAGCTGATAGTTTTTTAGATATATGAATGTAAAATACAAACTATTAAGATGGTTGGAATGTGATATTGTTATATAAAGAACGAAGATGGTTTTCATTTATACTATAGACTAGGTGATTTTCCCGTGCTTGAATATTCATAAAAATAAAACTTTATAATAATTAATTGATATTTAGTTTTAGTTTTGAATAAATTTATATGTATAATTTATATTAAATAGTATTATGTATTATATTATTCGAATTATACATATGACTTTGGATATATTATTGTCAGTTTAATTATTTTTTGGATCAATAGTTGGTTTGGTTATCAATTTGGTATATTGGATAATATCTATTTTTAAAATTCAGTTATAATTTTTTATTTAAATATAATAAAACTTTGATTAATTTTCTTATTTTTCGGTTGGTTATTGTCTTAAATATGTAAATATACTATAGTTAAATTATGTATAACTTAATATATATTTTGCTTAAAATTAAATAAATAATAAGCTGAAGTGTTTGATTCACAATTACATTAATGAATATAATGATAATATATTGAAGTCTCATGAATTTATATAAATTCTACAAAAGAATTAAATTATGATTGGTTAATATTTTCTTTTTCTTTTAATATGCTTCGAGTCAACCTCTTATATGTATAAAAATAAATAGATTATTATTATTATTATTATTATTATTATTAAATTATATGCTCTTATTGTAGTTAGATATTTAATTTTGGATATAAATTAGATTAGTCAAGTCATTCATTTTGTGAATATATTGAGTTAAATATATTTTTAAATTAAAACTGAAGTATAATTACTTTTCATTTTAGTCAAGTCCAATCAAATTAGTTTTATTTATCGCTTAAATATACATGTATTTTCATAATATTTATCAAATTATATGTTGATTTCTAAAAATATTAGAAAATAAAGTGTAACTGATAAATTTTTGAATGTTCATAAACATATATATTTTTATTATTTTGAAAATATATTTATGTTATTTAAAAATATATATTAATGGGGATATTACTATTTTGTGAACTTTCCTTTTTAATAAAATCATATTATATACATATATTTTCGTTTTAAATTTGTTTTAAAATTTTAGAAATATTTCCTTTTTATTATTATATGTTATTTGGAAAAAAGTAAAAAAGAAATTATATAAAAAAATAATAATAAACTTAAAATCTAACAATTCATTAAGGGTATCTATGTAATCAACCATCGTGAGAGTTAACGTGAGCGCGACACATAGGAAACTGACTTCTCAAATAATATTATTGAGATATACGAACATCATTTTTAAGTAGAGTATTCTTTTGTAAAAGCCACGGCGTCTGTGATCGGGTGATCAAGACGTTCCGTGGATCTCTAAAGGGACTCGAGTTTGAATCCGTACACACCAGATTTTCATAACGCATGACCACCAGAACTTTCATATTCTCTCTCCGGAGAATGGTTTACCATTTTTTTTTCTTTTGTAAATTAATCAGACTGATGATCAATAAATTGAAACTTTCACTAAAAAATGAAGCTGGTTCGATCGAAAATTTATTATTCACAAAAAAGATTGGCTAATATGGAAAAAGTGTTCTTGAAGTATAACTAAAAAATCACAAACTGAAACCCACACTAAAAGTTACAATAATTGTTTTGAAACCCGACCCGGATCCGCGGTTAAACCGATAAACTCGGTAACCCAGAAAAAATCCAGTTTGAGTTTTGTGAAAAAATCAAAATTTAAAAACCCGTAAAAACGCACTAAAACCCAAAACTCAATATCCGGTTAAACCACCGATTGAAGCAATAGATAAGTTTTTTTTTTTAGTTTTTAATAATATTCTAAATTTTTAATTAAGAAGTTAAGTTTTCACTTTTCAGTTTTATATTTGTGATTTTTGGATTTTGATGAAGATTTAAATATGACACCTAAAAGTAATGAAGTAAACGATGGTAGAGAAAATAAAAATTAGTTGATTTGATTTGGTGTTATTTTACTTTAATTTGTTACTGAGAATTTATTGTAATGATGTTTTGTTTTTGGTTTCTTTAATTTGGAGTTTAATTTATTATTCATGTTAGATATTTAAATATTTATGAACTTTATGTCTTGATTTTTTTTATATGTCATAACTCTTAACTTGTTACAAAAAAAAATTAAATATTCTAAACTATTTTTGATATTTTTGTATGTTAAATGAAAACAAAAATGTAAGACTAAATTTAAGTACTTTCTAAATGTTTTTTTAAAGATAAGATATATACATATCCAAAAAAAAATTTTATGTTTCTTTTTAAAAATTAGAAAATATTAACTTTATTTTTTATATAATAAAATTAACTTATTTATTAATCTGTGGTTCACCTGCCGTCGATCCAGTAATCCAATAATCCGATAAGTCAATCGATTATGTGTACGGATCGGGTTTAAAAACATTGGTTACAACTTACTAACTAACTAATTCAACAAATGATAATAACGAACAAATGAATGATAATAATTTTGTTTAACATTTAGACCCAAAAAATAATGATAATCACAAAAAGCCTTTTGTTTTTTCTTTATACATTTTATTTTATTTTATTTGACGGACCTATTCACTTAATGCAAAATCTAGACAACAAATAATTTATTTAAAAAATTGAATTTTCTCTAACCTTTCAAATTCACAACAGACATAAAGTTTTTAGTCTCGATATGATTTATTGTTAAAATGAACCAAAATATATTTGGCTTGAAATAATTTCATACTTCCCATGTTTTTTGGATAAGAGTATCTCTAAAAATACTCTCTATTTTAAAGTTTACAAAATTCTATATTTGAAATTTAAAGGTGTTATGCTCTAAAAGCAAGACTTCAAATTTAATTTCAAAACTATATGTGTGTTTATACAATAGTTCTTATATTTGTCATAACTAATTTAAATTCATAAAAAATATAAATAACTAACACATATATAAAAAATACAGTAATATTAATTGATAAATTGTTACACTAAAATACAATAATGTTAGTTATAGATTTTTTTGGGATATGCTCTAAAATGTAATATTTTGCAAGAGTATTCAAATATAGAAGCATTCATTAGGTTACATATTGGTAGAGTGGATCACGAATTTGGGTCAATTCCAATGAAACTGTGGTCCTGATCTCTAAAACTTTTATAAATTTTTACATAAGCACATGTCCTAAATTATGGGAAATTTTTTCAGAGAAGTTTATAAGAAATGTTTATAACCCTAAATTCTCAGATTCGATCCTACCACCAAGTTATAGATATGTTCTTTTAAGAGTGTAGGACTCGATCAAATGATTGAGGTGTAAAATATAAATTAGAAATGTGACAGCACTATCATAAAATAGGGAAGGACAAATCTAAGTGGGTCCTTGAACGTATCTTTGTAGTACACCTCTTTGTCAATGCTCTTCCAAGTCATCATTCGGACAAAAACTTTTAGGGACATTGCAAGTGTTGTGTTGGGTTCAGTCCAGATACTTTACTACCTTGATGTACAGGTATGTTTCTCTATCCAGCTATAACATGTACCTGTATACAACTTTTTCTGCTATTAAGCAAATAATTTCTGTAAATATCAATTTTTTTTATAAATTTTGATTTCAGACATTTGAGCAAACATTCCCACATAGCTTTGAAACACTTTACCAAATTTTGTAAAGCCTATTGTCCTTATCTGAACTATTTAAGCGACTTTCTCAGATTTGGTAAGCTCAATACGTAATGAAATATGCTGCTGTGGATTGAAGCAGTTGAATAGACTTTGCTGTAGAATTTGCAAAGAAACTAAAGTTATACCCACCTTTGGTGATGTTGGACAGAGCATTTCAAGCCCAATAGACAAAACAAATCCATCAAATAATTAAAAGATGACAGAACCGGCCTGAGGTTTATGGCCCACAAAACCATTGCAATTTGAAGATCACATGATTTATACAGAGATATGATTTATACATTAGTAAGAAAACCAAAAACAATGTTTCATCAGTCTCACTCCTAAATATCAACTCGGAAAAACAGATGAGATGGCATGTTTATCCTATACACGTTTACCATATACAAAAAGGTGAGATGGCATGTTCAGACTTTTTTCGACCTCGCAAACAATTATAAGAGTACCAATTAAAACTATAATATATTGTGTATAGAGGTGTAACGATGAATATATCACCACCAACCATGCTATTTTTGTCATAAATAACTACTTTCATTCTCACAAGTATGATGCTTGCAGACTTGCAGTCGTGGTGTTGTCAGCAACCATTGCTTTGGCATAAATAATTGAGAGACTGTGATGGTTGTGTTTGGTGGTGATAGCTGTGATCATGGCTGTTGTGATAGCGGTCGTGGTGTTAGGTGGTGGATTCAAATTTCATTTGATATGTTTTGTCCTCATTAACTTTTTGCTATAGTATTAGCTTTCAGTTATACACATTGAATATTTGTTTTGGTATTACGGCTTGCAAGCTCTCGCCACACACTACATTAATTTCCATTTCCTCTTCTTTTATATTTTATTTTATTTAATATCAGTACTTTCCTTTAAAAAATATACTAAATCTTGATCCGCACGGTTCCGCACAACCGTGCGACTATTTTAATACTAAAATATTTAAATTATATAAATTTTTTATCTATAAACAAATATAATTTAATATTATATACTATAAAATTCTATAATAATGTTTATGTAGCTTATAATATTATTAATATAAAATTTATATTTTTAATAATTTTTAAAATATTATTATGTAACATTACTAATTTATATATTTTGTTTTCTCAATTTGAAATATATGTAAAAAGGTGAATTAAGTTGGACCTACATAATATATAAACAATTTTTTTGATAGTAGTAAAAGTATTTTACATAATTTTAATTTTTTTGTTTATAAATCAAAAATGAAAAATTTAAATATATGTTATGATAATTAAAATTTTAATCAAATAATTTTAGAAAATATATTTAAAAAGATTCTAAACTATTTTGTTAGAATTTTCTTAAAAATATTTATTTGTATTTCAAATAAAAATTAAAAATATTATAATGATGTTACGTAAGATTTTATTAGATTTTTAAAAATGATCCAAACTAAAAAATCACATATGAAATGAATCATGATTTCTGTTTTAATATAATAGATTTATTTATTAATAATCACATGTTGCAACCATCTCTAACAATATAAATTTATAGCACAACTAAAATTTCAAAGAGAGACGCAAAATCCTTGTGAGCCAAACACTTCTACAGTTCTACCTATATAGTTGGATTTAGATATATGTCAAGCCAACCTTATTTATGTAACGTTTTTTCTTTCCGTCTGTTGCAACCATATTTGGTAAAGAAAGAACCAAAAAAACAAATAAAATTAAATTGAGTAATCTACACAATGTTACTGAATATTTGATGATAAATCTTTTATTTTTCTAGGTGCAAGTGTTTGATGATAAATCTATATTAAGAACGATAATGATCAACTCTGATTAAAATCTGCGTTTATGATACTGCATATTGGGAATTGGTATAATAGATGAGATGTGTCAGTACAGTTGGTAAACATTTTCGCAATCTTTTTAAGGTAGTGATTCTAAGAAATTCTAAGTTGTATGCTCTATGAATCAAATATAGTAAGTAAACATTTTCTCAATCTGATCATAAACAAAGATATGATTCTAAATTCTAAATATAGCTCATACAAATCTTAATCTAAACGATGAATCAATATAATTGATAAACATCTTTCAATCTGATCGTTCTTATGCCATGATTAATTCCAGTCTTTTAATTGGAGTTCTTAACTTCAGTTAAAAGACGATTCTTAGATTTTTTTAAATTTTAATTAAGAAAAATTAAGAACTGTCTCTTAAATTAAAAATATATAAATTATCTTTTAGCCGGAAAATATAAAAAAAAAATGTCAAATCATGAGTTAATAATCTTGGTTAAGAGATTGGGGTTAATTATACTCTTAAGGTCTATGATTCCGCTAAGTTCTCACTATGATCATGAAAATGTATATATGAACAAAACTCAAAATATTGCATTAACTGACTTTTTCCGTTACACTTTTTTAATTTAATTATTGGCTTTATTCATGATATGACTCTTCTCTGTTAGCACATAGTCCAAGAACTGTGAAACACGCTCCAATAAAAGAGGGAGATAGAGAGAATTAAAGAAGACAAATACAGTTGACAAAAAGAAAAAAAGAAGACAAATACAAAATAAAAAACTTCCATATCTTCTAATATTCTCTTTTTTTTTTTTTTTGTATTTTCCATTTTCTCTCCGTCCTGAATATTTTCCTCTCTGTTTTCTTTTCCCGGGAAAACAGAAGGAAATTTTTTATTTTCTACTTTTCATTTTCCCCGGATGGAGAGATTTTGTGAATCCTGAGGTAAAGAAGATTATATCTATACTAAACCATCTTGAAAAGATACCTCCTTTTGGGTTTTGAGAATCACCACTTATCTTCTCTGTTTAGCTTCTCGCTATATTTGTTAGCAGCAAAGTTGTTATTTGGGTCTCTATTCAGGTCCTGCATCCCATTGTTGCACATGTTTGTGTAATTCAATAGAAGAATGGATCAAAAGGTTCATGCTTTCACTAGATTCTAAAGCTAGGGTTCTTGGGAACGTACTTACTCTGTCTATACATTTGAGATTGGGTTTATGGAGTCTTCAAGAGATGTTGGGAAAGGTTGTGACTTGGGTTGTGATTATTCCCTTAGAGCATGTTCTTTAGACTCTTCTGAGTCATCTTCAAACGCAAAGTTACTAGTTGAGAATGAATATGCTGCTTTACTTGAGGATCTTTCTCTCCAAAGGAGAACAGTGAAAGATCTTCACTTGGAGCTTGAAGAAGAGAGAAACGCTGCTGAATCAGCAGCTAACGAGACAATGTCAATGATACTTAGGCTGCAGAGCGAGAAAGCTGAGATAGAGATGGAAGCTAGGCAGTTCAAAGCGTTTGCTGAGAGGACAATGACATATGAACAAGAAAAAGTAGCAGCTTTGGAGGAGTTGGTGTATGAGAAAGAGCAAGCTATTGAGTCCTTGTCTTATGAGGTTGAAGCTTACAAGGATAGGTTGATGAGCTATGGGGTGACTGAAGCAGAGATTCATGATCAGATACTTGGTTTTGGTAGAGACTCTGTTGATGTTTACCCGTGTGAATACACTTCTTTGAAATTTAGTGTGGATGATGAGAACCTGAGCGAGCCTGATGGTGATGTTGAGGTTGTGGAGAAGGTGATGGTTGGTCAGTCTCCAGGATGGCCGTATTATGATTCAAACTCGCCTTTAGGAACTGCTAAAGAAGTAAAGGGAACATTGTACACAGACTCTCCTATGTCTATTAATAGTGACAGAGTTTATACTATTGACTCAGTTCATGTGGGAGTTTCTGAAGTGAAGATTAACGACGAGCTTAGTAAGATTAGTATGGGAAAGTTGGATGGTGATCATTGGAATGCTCAGAGATATCAAGAACCGGTGATGATGACTCGGAAAGGAGTTAAAGAGCCAGATATTGAGAAGCTTTACACAAGGCTTCAAGCACTTGAGGCTGACAGGGAGTCATTGAGACAGGTCATTGTAGCAATGCGGACAGACAAAGCTCAGCTGGTGTTGTTGAAAGAAATCGCACAGCATTTATCAAAGGAAACTGTCATAACAAACCGGCGAAACCTGGTTAGCAAAATGCCATCTTTCAAAGCATTATATCATGTAGGAACGGTCTTCAAGGTAAAACAATCATAATCTCTCACATGTAGCATATCGTCGCTATCTGAAACTGTGTAAGGCTGAACTTTTGTCTCCCTTCGTTCTTGTGTTTCAGTGGATTGTGTCTTTCGTTTCTTGGAAAAGGAAAGCCAAGCGGAACAAGTAAGTAGATAAGGTTACAAACACTTGCTACTTGGTTCACATTCTGGTTATACTGCTTTTTGATGGGATTCAATAACAAAATTGCAATGCAGGTATGTGTACAATCTGTCAGCAAACAATATGGGGATGCTTATGATTCTAGGCGAGGGATGTCGAACTAGAAGATGGAGTTGCATAACAAGTTCACATGTCTAGAGACATCCATTCGTTTTTCTCTCCTGGTATAGCTAGTGCAAATTGAATGTACATTTCTCTTTATTGCAAGACACCAAATCAAACATGTATGAATGGTTCTGATTCTGGTTGAATATAATCAATCCAAATTTATTTTTTAATTTATGTCTCCTCAAGGCAAGATCATAATATATGTCTTTCGAGAAAAAGTCACTCTATTATGCATGAATAAAACCATGAATCAAACCAAACGGTTGCTTAAACATTGCATCAAAATATGTTCAGCTAAAATGCAAATTAAAAATAAAGATTAGGTTGATAAGTTGATTTCGTGCTCATACATATAAGGATGAGAACCTGGAAACTGAGGATTCGAAGCAAATACAGATTACGAAGGAGACAGCGAAACAGTGTAAGAGTTGTTGCAATACTTCAAGCTCTTTAGATGGCCTGATCGAAGCTGAGGGCAGATCACTGTTCCGGGAATGTTAGACGCAGCATCGTTTGTTTCTCCTGTGCCTTCGGTGGCTGGAGACTCAGGCTCGGTCTTATCAGGGATTTGAGGCAGCCCCATGTTTAAGTTAGCTGATGTTGGCTCAGTCACAAAGCTGAATTTAACTCACAAAACATTAGCATTTGCTAGCAAAAACTTCGATTTAATGTTTGGAAGAGAAGAGAATTTGTATCAACGAACCTGGCTTCGAAGTTCTGTCCATTAGCAATCACGTGTGCACAAATATTGCTAATAATCCATGGCGGGAGAAATTCACCCTTAGCCTCGACCATATAGCAACTTGTACATTCTGCTGTAACAATCTCCTTGCAGTCGATCTGGAGATCAAAGAACAAATATTCTGAAAATGTCGACAGAAATCACATATTACAGAGCAAAATGCAAGTGTAAGAAAACATACCTTAGGAGAAGATACTGCAGCATTCTGAAACGGTACTGGTGAATACAATACAGGAACGTCTGCGGTGAGAAGAAAACCCAAAGACGACCTACGCATGATTGAGAAACAATGGGTATATTACATCATTAAGTTCCGTTAATGGGATTTGGATGTATCTGATATGTAACTTCTTTTTCCAAAAAAGTGTTCGTACACACACCTATAAGTCAGCAGAAGATCATACAATCCATGTACGCTCTCATTTCCGTCAAAAGCCAAGAAAGATTCTGGAGTATTATCTATGTTTGAGACGGAACGCAAACGACGAGTCTGCATCTGTTACCAGGAGTAGTCAGAAAAAAAACACACGCTAATACTCTCCCTTTTACAATAGCAGGTACTTCACATTGTTCATAACAGCGGAATATTCATCCATATAAACAACTAGCTGAAGGTCCACAAACCTGGCCAAGGTTATGATTCTCTATCTCTGAAAGTTCAGCAAGATCTTCAACACTGGTCTCATCCATTTTAGTTTTGCAAAGAGGCATTGAGTAGCATATGTCCTGTAAAAAACATATTCAGATCATATTAGCACAAGGTTTACATAATAGACAAGAAAAAAGACAAGGGATAATCTAATAGTTCTCTCTTGATATGTTAATTAAACATCAAACATACTATACTCTACCCTTGATGTAAGAGCCTAACATGTTGAAGGCACTCCACAACTAAGGTAGTGAGGTTGGAAAAAAAAAATACACACGACCAAAATGTTGTTCAACTAAGCACTTCAAATTTCAATTCGTTTAAGGCTAGCCTCACAGACAGTTCGGCTCTAATTTATGTACAACTATTGGTAAAATTGTACTTAAATTTCATTGAAGTCCTATCAAAGAAGCAGTCAATCAAGGAACTTGTACAGATACGGAAATTTAAACAAAGAAATACATAACAGATAAAAATGCTGCAGCGTAGTATGAAAAACACAAACAACTTGCGTAAAATCAAATAAAGCAAAAGGCTTAAGGAGCATATCTTACAAGGTCTTTAAGCGTGGCTCTCAATCTTCTAGTTGACTGAGTGATATAGGCATTGCATGAGCGTTTGACACCTCCTGACTCACAGCTTCCAGTGAACATTGCCACAAACTGTGAAGTACAAACTGCAGTCCAAATAATTCACAAGTAAATTTAGTCCCATTTCAAGCGTACGGCATACATATCATTTACAGCGAGAGAGATGGTATACGAGAAAGAAGCTGTGCATGAAAGTTTAACATTTTAATAACACTTAAGGTGTATGTGACTTTGATGCATCTTTGCCATTTAATAAAGATTAACTTGCTTTTTCATTTTGAAGAATTTGGCTACACCTTCCACGTATATGTAAACAGGGCACTACAGGCCTCTAGTGGCATTGGCGTTATCTTTATTAAACTAGTGTTTTACCCGCAAAAAAAGCACATCCAAATCAGGCACATACGACGGGCTTACCATAAAATATTTTGCAGAGATTCTTCCGAAACATATAATATAAACTTCGAAAAGCATCTTCCCATGCCACTTGTCGCTGTTGTAGGAAACCACCTTCGCCTAAAACAGCAAAAGGAATATCGTTTTATAAAATTTGGAAGAAGGATGACTGAAAGAAGGTATAGCTCTTGAACACTCATTAACAAACCTCTACCTGGCCCAGATGATAAATATGCTGAAATCATAGAAGGTGGCAAGGTAGACTGGGGGTAAACCCATGAGTGCAGCGACATGGAATTTAACACCTGGCAAACCACATCTGATCCAGAACCACTACTGTTATCTTGGTTTACCACATTACAAGGCAGCGACTTTAGCTGCGGCATACCATTGTATGTGCTCGCCAAGATTGACCTATGTAACCTAGAACAACAATAGTGGAAAATAACAGACCGAAACAAGCTTCAGAGGCAAAATAAAAACACTATTCCATGAACTTTAATATTAGAAATCGCATAACTCACCAATTTAATGAAGAAGAGGAAACAAGTCGAACATAAGTTTTCATGGAAAGGTCCAGCGGAATCTCTCGCCCAGGAACATGAAACTCAGGCACGAAATTTCCACTGAGCGAAACAGTATCAGATTTCTCACTTATGTCACCAGGACAAACAGGCAATGGTTTGCAAGTGGCAAGTCCTTTCAGTACTTGGCTCTGTTGAAGGACAACATAAGTTTTACCAAGACCATATATATTAGCCATCTCAAACTATCAAAAACTACCAAGTGGGTCATACCATATCAATATCTGGCAAGGAGGATAACTCTTCACCCCTTTTTGACAGTTCTGTGACACTGCGAAATACGCTCTGGCTGCACCTCTCATTTGTTTGACGAGCTCCAGTGTTAGCATCATCAGAAACTCCAGTAGAAGCCTTATTCTCATCACTGCTAAAACATCAAAGCATTAACATAAGTGTTAAAGCACAGTAATCTAGCCAACTCCAGAATGAATTTGCCCGAAGCAATTTACCGAGTAAGTTGTTGTCTTTTGATGGCAGCAACGTTTGAGAGTAAAGAAACATTCAATAGGTTGCTGAACTGCTCCTTCACACCATTTTCCTATGGTAAAGACAAATAATAAATAAAACAAAACGATGAGTACTAAACTATAAATCTAAAAGGAAGGAAGAACCAAAGAGAGGTAGTAAACCTTGGAGTTTTCTTTGCCAGATGGCATCCAAGTCCGAGCCTTTTTGACAGGATACAGCTCATTCAAACGCATCTCAATGTACTTCGGATTCTTAAGCCCATTTCCCTTCTCAGTACTATACAACCAAGATAATCTAGTAAGACAAACCAAAAACAAGTTCAACAACTTTGAAGACGCAAATACCTTTTGCAAGGACGCAATGCATCAAAAGACTCTTTAGCTTGGTCCACGAAACAAGTCCGCTTCAATTGTTCTCCCTGTATTGTCAAAAAGGTTATAGTTTCTGAATGAAACAATCTTTAAAAGATAACAAAAGAAAGCAAAACTTACTCTTAATTCAACAGGAGTCTTCCTCTTAGCGTTTGACACTCCATTCATTTGAAGAGAAGCACCAGGAGCAACTACTTTCGCCATTTCCAGAATCTGATGTTCGTTTGATCAAATCTTACACCTAATCAAACTTCTTCCACAAAATTTAATCAGTGAATCATAAATTCATCCTCACAAACCCTAAATTGAAAAGCCTAGAAGCTAGTGAACAGTAACTTATCCCAATTACAAAATCGAAGATGATATTCGTTTAATTGATCTTTACTTAATCAAAATTTAATCAGTGAATCACAAAGTCATCCTCACAAACCCTAAATTGAAAAGCCTAGAAGCTAATGAACAGTAACTTATTCCGATTACAACAATAAATCGGAGATGATATTCGTTTAATTAATCTTCACCTAATCAAAGTTAAATCAGTAAATCACACAAAGTCATCCACACGAGCCCTAAATTGAAAAGCCTACGAACCCTAGAAGCTAGTGAAACAGTACCGATTAAAGAAATGATACGATTATTGGATAAGGATCACACTCACCACGCTCGAAGGTTAATGTCTTTACGATGTAATAGTAAACATCGAATCCCAGGGGCGTGGCGATAGAGATATTGGATGTTTCGCGGTTAGGAGCTCGTCGTGGTGTGAGTCTCTCCACGGTGAGGATTGGCTTTTAGGGGTTTTTTTTTATTGCTTTAATTTTTGGGGGAAAGTGGAATGGGAGGGAAGAGGAAGGCGCGTGAAAAAATTGGGAGCCCTTTTTTGAAAACATTTGGAGTCCAAAATGTTTTTGGGGGTTCCCTCCGGTTTGTGTATCTGTAACCGTTAACGTAACGCCGTCAACTGTTATCACCGTGAATCGGTCTTTTATATGCAAAAACCGAATTGAACACACAACATTCGGTTTGGTTTAATACGGGTTTGGTTTGAGTTCACATTTTTTTTTGGTAAGAAATTCAGTTCAGATTTTAACAATGTTTAGAAAACAGAACCACCAGATCTCGACTTGGTATAACTACTAGTTGACTGGTTCGATCGGTTCAACCAGTCAAATCGAATTTTCTAGTTTTAAAAATTATATATATATATATATATATATATATATATATATATATATATAACCATATATTTACATTATGCGTTAAATTGACATTAGAACTTTGAAGTTTTGTGAGATTAGAAAGTTTCTAAAGTTATTTTTGTACCAATCAAATTTTATCTCGAAAAATGTCTAAAACCCCTATAAATTTATCTCTCTTATAATACATGATTTTTACCACTTTCCTTTTCTACTCTTTTATTTTTCTCTAAAAATATTTTCTTTTTTTCTCCTTCATAACTAAGGCTTTTATTTAAATTTGTAATAATTTTATTAAAAGTTAAGATTAACAAAATAATCATTGATATTTTTTTTGTTCATTTGAGATCCATATTATACTATTTTTATAATCATATATATTTAATCCCTTAGTACTAATATAACTTTACATTTTAAATAAAGTATTTCAAATTATTATTCAAAATTTCTACAATTTTAACTACTTATCTGTTTTTGATAGAAATTAAACTAACAACTAAAGTTTCAACAGTCAAATTCTCTACATCCATAATTCTAAAATCAAAGTCTAAAGCGAAAGTCCTTACCTGGTTTAAAAAGTAATTCTACATATAATATATTTTCTTTTCTATTTGTTAACTAGAAAAATAAAAATAAGCATAAATTTAACTATATATACAGTAAACAAGTGAATAGTATGTGAATTGAAATTGATTAAAACCAAATGATTGATTTTAAAAATTATTGTATTTAGTTATTTTTACAACTAACGTCTCAAATTTTATGACTGTCAAAATAAGAATAATATATGAAAGCCAAAATATATATTTACATTGTTTCTTAAGAAAATAGAACTTAAGAAAAAATCAATTAAATAGTAATAGTTGAAATATTGATTATGAAATATTAAGTTTCGATAACAATTGAAAATACAGTTATATATTGATTTTTGAGAACGGGATTTTAAAGTTGACTAGAATCACCTATTTTACTGTTTTATCGGTTTTTCTCAAATACGGACTTTAAATAGAACAAGACTCGGTTTTTCCAACTAGTCGGATCGGTTCGACCGACCGGTCAGGTTTCAAAACCATGTATTTTAGATATCTTTTCCTTCCAAAATCCACTTAATTTCATAAAATTTAAAAACATTTAAAATTTTGCTTGCAATTAACTATTTTAAATTTTTAATCAATAGAATTTTAATAAATACATTTTAAAAAAGTTAAATAATTCATCAAAAATGTAAAATGTATTTTTGAAATAATTAATTTCTAAAATAATTATTTTTCAGAACAGAAGGAGTAAATTATAACCTTCGGTTTCTAAAAAATGGTTTAATCAGTTTTTTTTTTAAAGAAACACATTTGCCTTTTCAATTTGGGTTTGAATCGTTATTATATATTTACAATTCGGTTTAATTTGGTTGAGCTGGATTGAACTCCTATAAAACGAATCAAGATTAATGCTCCAAAATCACTTGAACAACACATTCCTAACATCACTTGATCTAATAGCAGTGAATCAAATGTCTCAATCACCAATAAGAACAAGAAAAACAAAGAAGATTGTCTTCTAGCTTTGACATATTACAACACATAGAAAAACAAAGAAGTCTAGTCTCTAGAAAATACATATTATTCTCTCAAACTATCACACAACCTAAACCTCTCTCTCTCTCTACCTAAACGGTAACAAACACAGGAGACTCCAAGTTCTCCCATTTAGCCTCTTCATCTTTTACTTCTATTGATGCCTCTATTTTTTTCACCTGAAACACACAAATACAACCATTCTATTTGAAACCAAACTCAATTTCGAATCCCTTAGAAGGAATTCACACACCCCTTTCTTAAGAAAGAAAAAAAACAAAACAATCAAAAGACATGGTCTCATCACTTTGTTGTCATGTACTACCATATAACTATGCATATAGGAGATACTGAAGCAGATTTACCTAAACCTGAACCATGCTTGAATTAGGACTACATCTAAGAAGGAAGTGATACCGCTGCTGCTTCTTTCACCGTTGCTGCTTTTTTCACCGCTGTTGTTTCCTCCACTGCTGCTACTTTTCCACCGCTGCTGCTTCTTCCACCATTGATGCTTCTTACACAGCTGCTTCTTCCACCACCACTGCTGCTTCCTCCACCGCCGCTGCTACCTCCTCCTTTCCTAAAGAAACAACATAAGACTGAACTTTGAACGTTTCAGTAACTATAAAGCTGAGTTCGTAATTCACACTCCACGTCCCAAAGATGTTGAAACTTCATGCGCTCTTGTAAGCCACAACGACATCAACAACCTTCCTGAAAACCATTATAGCTCGGTGTTTATCCTCGTCAACCTCAGTCTGTGAATCCCTTACCGGTCCAAAATATCTGAACATTTTACTTAGGCTCTTCTTAGAATGTATTGTATCTATTTCACTAAAGTACATTAGTACATTATAAACTCAGCTGGTGCATTCTCATCAAAGTCTGCCGGTTTGTCTGATGTTGGAGGAAGAGGATAACTGATCTGAGACTGCCTTTTTCTATATGGATGACGAGTCCTTTTAACCTGAGCAGGTTTCAGCTCAACCAACACAACTTGATAGTTTTCCCTTTTCTGTAGCTGGCGTTGTTTGTTCTTCACCACCGTTATGAATCACCCTATCAGTCCAATATGTGTCACCCATTTCCTGAAACTCAAACGCTTCGGTTCCTCATGCGTTTGAATTGGATGGTCTAGCATTTTTACTGTTTGCTTTTCTGGAACAAACTGCTGCGAAGCCGATGAGTTTCAGAAATCTAGGAAGAAGCCAGTGACAAGTTCAGAGACAAGGTTCTCTTTTACAGGGTCTGTTGCAGAGTCAAGTTGGGATACAAAACTGTCAACAAAAATAGTTTCATCACCAAAGTTACTGCCGCCCTTGAGAACTGAAGGAGTTCTTGCCATCTGACTAGCAGCTGTTTATACCTTCACCTAAGGAATCCTCACTCAGGACATCAGCCTTTTGTTTTAGACCATTGGTTTTAATATCCGAACCGGTTCCAACATCAACATTATCAAAGATGCCTGGATTTTTTTTCATTACTGTATCTTCCTCTTGGTTTTGATCGTTACTTGGAGCTTCATGAATAGTCTCATCTTCCTCCCTCCTTGTATCTTGTTGATCTAAGGATTGATGATCCTTCTCTTCTTGGGTTTTGCGGATCCCAAAACTGCATCAGAAGCCTCAATTGGACAATCAGGTGCTTCATTGGATTCATTTTCAACACCTTTAGCACGTGAGATTTGTTTATGACCTTTTGTGGCAACTTCCTTTGTCATGGCAATAGGTTTCTCACCCTCTTTCAAAGATACATCCCCGGTTTCAGTTTTCAGGTCTTGTACATTTCCTAACCAATATGATACACCACTAAAATCAATAAAGCTAGTAATCTTAGACCTTGGATCAAAAAGACCGTTATGATCTTTCAACTTCAACCTGAGCAGCATCTTTAGTGGACATTTTGGGTTTGTTGAATTAGTAGATTCAAATATTCCGGTAAGCTCATTTACCATATCAGCGCTATCAACTTCCATTACCTTCAATATATTGGAATCATCCATGTCAGCTTCATCTATTATAACATCTTGGGTTGGTACAACACTTGCAACAACATATTTATTTCCAGCATCATCCAAAACAACCTTCTCCACCGTTTCCTCTCCAGTATAATCGATATTCATGGCTTCTCCGTTTTCTTCTTCATGGTTAACAGTGGTTTTCTCTTCTTCAGGGTTAACCTCCACAACACTTCCTAGGGGTTCTTCATTTGTTTCATGGGTAGGCTCCTTTGGAACTTTTAAAGATTTTGAATGCTTAACACCTTCGGCCTCTCCATTCGCCTGGTCCATGTTGGTAATATCCTCATCACTTTATCAGCTGGTTCTTTCTCTTGGCCAGCTTTATCCTCTGCCACAGAAAGCTTCTCACCATCGACTCAGATTTGTTGGGACTTCTCAATTTGAACATTTTGTTCCTCCTCATTCCCAACAGAGATTACAGTCCCCTCTTCTCCTCCACCTTCACCATCCACCTGCTTCACATCAGCATCTATGTCACACTCCATTTGACCTCTATCGATTTCAGACTCTGTGAAAGCATCAGTTTTTCCAACATCATCAGAGCTAACTCCCTTCTCAACACCTCATTAGAGTTTTCACTAACATCACAAACACCTGAATCCGAAACCTCTACATGCTGAACATCATCTAGGATTTCAGTTTTAGAACATAACCCTAACTCCTTACCAGATTCCTCCAATGGCACTCTGGAATTACCAAGGGACGCACTTTCTTCTCCATGTTCCTCCATAAAATTACTTGGTTTCAGCTTAAACACTGATCAGTATATAGATGGATCTCATATAAAGAAAAGGCGACACCTTTAATAGAAATCGAGGCGAAACTGAATATTTCTAAAACACCGTAAGTGAGATTAACAACAGGAAAGCTTAAAAAGATCGATGGGGTTACCTTTTTATAGATCAAATGTGAGGCATTTGAGTCTCTCTCTCAGTTACAAAGACGAGTGTGGAGAGCGATGAACAAGCGATTTATGGAGAGAGAAAGAGAGACATTTGATCTTTCTTTTTGGGATAACGCCTTCAGCTCTTTCTAATTTATTTCTAAGTCCTTAATGTTTTCATTTTTTTCG